TGATATACTGGTTCTTGCAGCGACTACCGGGCGAAAGAGGCTGCATCCCGCCAATAATTCGCCGATTTTACTTTTAACTCCTACAACAGAGCTGCAGCATTGTTATTTGCCTCGCAAATTTTTTTTTACAGGCTGCAGTTGTTCGACCCACGATTTATAGGTAATTTCAACTTAACGATCGAACGAGTCGCACTGCCTTACGTAATCGGTCTTTTTAGATTTTTTATCGATCATTTTTTTCGACCAACACCGGCTTGTCGAAAAACCGGCCTGCGGATTAGACTATGTCCGATATAATCGAAGAAAGGAAAAAGAGAGAAAATCAACGGTATTTCGAGACGTTTTTATTAGGGAAATTTACGACAGGGAATTTGGAATGGATAATCGTAGCAAATTCCGTAATACGTACAGCTCCCTAATATACAGTTTAATATTACGGTAAGGAAGCTGAAGCAATAAAGTTTCGAAATTGGCTACGTTCGCTAAGTGGACTCCTAATTGATCGTGCTATTAATCTGAGCCTAAGAATCGATGAACCACTTTTAGAAACTTCTGGGATTTCTCCTCTGCCTTTACCTCGTGAAAGAGGGAAGTATAGACAGAAAACGTGAAAAACGAACAAAATCATAGTTTCACGATTAAAGAAACGCTTTAGCCTCGTCGTAGCGTCTTCCGCGCTTACGCCTACTTAATTAAGCTCTCTTGATCACCACCAGAACGTAAGGACAAACGCGCCACACTGGGGGAGAAAAAAAAAAAGACGCGAACGCGTCGACAGCTTCCTCCTGGTTATTCGCGTGCGTGCTTTATCCCAAGCGATAATTATCCGCATTCGAGAGGGAAGAAAAAGAGGAACCGAGGAGAAACACGTGTCGTGAAAGGGGTCCCGTGCGTGTACGTCGTTACGTATGGTCATTACCAGGAGTAACTTTTAAGCCTGATGTTCGCCAGCTACCCGTTGCGGTCAGCTCCGTCCGGCAAAATGCCTCGTTACTTATTTTACGAACGAACCTTATTACCAGTCCTCGTTTAAAAGCACGTCGTGTGCATATATCTCGAGCGCCAAGTAATTTGTAAAGCACTTTCCCTGCGATCTGTTTTCCGGGTTCGAGCTTTTCCACCGATCCGACTGGAAATTGATGTTTTTCTCTAGCTGTTTCGAGAACGACTCAAGAGGTAATCAAGAAAGAATTCAATAGGTGATGCGGATGAATTTGCGCGATCGGAGAACGCAACAGGAAATCGCGATCTCCTGCAGTCGCGACTCCTGTCTCCTGTGTCCGCTTACATAATTGTATATACTTATAAAATTATACCTATATCTCGCGCTATCACGCGCCGCGTCGCTTGCGCAACACATCGAGTTACACGGCCACGTTACGTAACGCGCGATTTTACAATGGAATCGTTTACGGTACGCGGCCGTTTATGGACGATTAAACGAAAAGCCATGAAAAAAAAGGAAGTCGAAGGCAGAGCCGAATCGAGTTCGCTCCGGAGGTCGGAGCATTCTAGGACAAAGATACGTACGAACGCAACGCTCGCGGAAGCGATTCGCGTGCTCGAGGATCCGGGATGGCTGATTTTTCTTCCAGGTTCGTTCTCACGCTGAACTATCGCGCGCTTCGGAAATGATAGAGCATCGGACCCGCGCCGATTTCTCGTGAGATCCTCCTTTTTCCTTTTTTTGCCAACCAACTCTCGACCCGATCGTTTTGAAGCTTTAATTTTCGAGGATGTTTTTGTGCGTGACGCAGGTAGTGCGAATTAATGGTTGTTGTTTGATGCGGGGTCTCGTGATAGTTCGGAAGTTCGCCGGTCATTTTTGTTTCGAACTAATCGCGTTTCACTTGACACACTTTGTTGCGGATCCGAATTATCGGTCCCGCTGAATTAAGGAGATTTATTTTCTCTAAATATACGTATACGAGGAAGCATTAAGGAGGAGATGAGTATTATTCGAAAGAATGGTCGTAAAAGTGGTTCAGAAACTCGTGGAAGGTTTTAAAAAGAAATTTAAACAGAGTCGCTTGACCCGTTTGCGTTCTTTGTTGACAAAATTATGACGATTTGTTTGGTGTCGAGTTCTCTGGTCCGATCGCGACAAAATCGTGTCGAGTCAACCACGTGATTAGAATCGAGATGCAAATTTTACTTTCGTCCTTCGCTCGGACTACCTCGTTACGACAAAAACTTTCTTTTCCGCCGGTAGCCACGCACGTTCCTAACCAGAACGGGACAGAAATCCAGCGCAAGATAGCCGTGTGAACTTCTAGTCCAGCAGTTCTTCGAAGAAAAGTTTCCGTTTTACCTTTCTGTCTTATACCTCCCTCGCGTAAACCCTTATGTAGAATCATGTGACTCGTAAAACTTATTTTTCTCCCATCAAGCAAAGAAAGTACAAAACAGAGACAGTAATATATAAATCGTTAATTAAGAATCGCAAGAGATTAGATTTTTATATCTAATTATAATCGAGTCATGTTTCATCGAACATAGTATTCGCGATTGATTAATTCAAGAAAGCGACTCGAGGCGTAGCTATTTAACCATGTTTCGCATTACTCTTGTTACGCATGTACGTTTCAAAGTACACCTATATTTGGGCCGTAAATCCGGCACGCGATGACGATATACCGACAGACGGAGCATGACAATATCAGCCCAGATTCGATCGAAACGAGCAAATTTGACATAGATATCGAACCGCAATAACGTCGATTATTACCTTGCAAGAAATTAAGTATCAATTAATGATAAGTCATCGGAGATATCGATTGTCACGGACTTTGATTTCAACCGAACGGTTGCACCGAGACCGAGATAATTGCTATACTGTTTGTCATCGTTTTCGAATGGCAAGAAGGATAGAATTTAAAGATCATACCATAAACGGTAGCCAAGGAACCACTTCAACTGACACCTACATTAAAATAGAAATTTGCTTACGTCCTAGTTTCTTTCTTTCATTCTTTCTTTTCTTCCGACGTTCAAAGAATAGTTAGTAAATCGTTCGTCTAAAAGATATTACATGATCTTTTCTCTTCTCTAACAAAGCGTTTCACATACTAGATCTGCCAACAGATGTTACACTTTCCTTCCGATTACGATGACTTTCGCACGAAACGTTGCTTACGTAATTTCGTCTGATCCTAGGCAAGTAAAGAGAGCGTTACCCGTCATCCCGACGATCGGATCACTTTCCACGCGCACGCGTCTTTGCGGAAAAGTCACGTAACACGCTCTCGTCGTATCCGGTATTCATCGAGCTGCACTTGCATTATAATCCGACTATAGGGTGTTTCGTATCCTTATTTAAAGGGACGACAAGTGAATCGTTGCGGATTAATCAATCACGCCTCGCGATTAATCGACGCGGATGCGTTGGTAAGAATTTCGCAAGCTAGGCACCCGAACAATGGATCACTTTTACTCTCGGCACGCTCGCCAAAGAGCACTTTGTGTTCCGTTCGTGGAATCACGAATAGGTTCGACAAACCTTAACGCCAATCCCATGCGCCATTGCAAATATGAGAATAAATTACATCGAATAAAAGAGAATATACTATTTATAACGAGCCGGAATCGACATTTTGTTCATGGACGTGGGCAAACGTCCCGTTCCACTGGCTTTATTAGAATTCTCTAGCGTATAATTGCGCGTCAATTACGCGCAGAAACGTAAATATCGCGGCGAAGTGTATTAAATATGGGCGTAGAAATGGGATCGGTAAAGAATTTCCATTCTATCGGCTCGTATGCTTATTTATGCCTTGTCCGTGGATGGGGGTCTCCGTTTAATCGCGATTCCGCCAATACTCGAAATTTGATCACGACGCAGTAATTACGCTTATGAATATATGTACGCAGATAATTTCTATCGAGTATTAATAGGGTTATACTAGCAGCAGACCCTCCGGCTGAACATAAACGTTGCATTCTATTGAATTGCCTCGTATTTCAAGCTTATTGCCATTTCACGACCCTCTCGCTAAAGATATCGAAATAAAAAATTCCGCAGGTCACGAAAAGAATCTAAAAGTTCAAAGAGCAATTATGCGTAAGTTTATCACTCGTAATTGCTCTCGAACGTTTGCGTCTGAACTAAATACGAACAAGAAATCGTGACACGTTCGAGAAAGAACATGGAATCTAAATTTCGAGGAAATCGCGTGTTTACGAATCGTCCACTTTTTTCTCCGACCATCAACGTGTATCGCGTCCAGTTAGAAAGACGCTGCCTTCTGGATAATCAGACGCGAGTTCATACGAACGAACCTCATCGAAATTCGAACGAACCTGTCTCTAAGCAGGCGCGAACTGGAAATTCAAGTATAACCTAACCTTGTAGTCGTAGGTACGTCAAGTCGCACGATCAAAGCGAACAGATGCGCAACTATTTACGTTCGAACCTTACCATGTGCGTATTTCCTGTTTCGCGATGCTCTATTTTCGTCCGTTTATTTTTGATAGCTGAGCAATAACGGAAATTTCGGGCGTGGTGCCGGATCAAACAAATGACGAAGACGCGATTGTAATATAGAACAGTATTTGTCTTGCTAGACGGTGGATCATCTTCGCTAAGATACCCTACGGCATAAAAATGAAGATAAGAAAACCGTAAGAATTTAGGTCGATGCGTATCGTTATGTAATTCAAAAATCCCTAAAGATTGCATCGATCCTAATCTACAACGCTAACTGTCTTACTTCGCAATCGATCACACTGTAAATCACACGGTGTAAACTTTTCAAACAGCCAGCGTTAGACGAATAATTACTCTTCGTCTTTCGTTCTAACTCCTTGGGTCTTTGGTTCTAACTCCTACAATGTTTTTGTAGTTGCACAACGAAACTAGTCGATCAAGTAGGTTATCGATAAGTAGTTGAGTTGTTCGGAAAGTGCGTAACGAAATTTAAGTACGACTTTCTGAACAACTGTCTTTGCGATCTAACTTCGTCAGGATCTCCTAACGTAAGCATCCCATTTTCTCGTCCTAGGAGTCAATCGAAGGCCTCTTACTTGGCGTATCGTCGAGAACGAGGAGCGCCCGACACCGAGGGCAGTTACAAAAGAACCATGTCACCGACATCTCGCCTAGAGGACTGGCCACCGCCGCGGGATCACGACGATCCGGTTCTTCTGCGCGTCACGCCTCATCATCCGTTGCAGCACCATCACCATCACAACAATCATCATCCGCAACAGCCAGAGCTTTCCAAGTCTCACAGCGTGGACGCTCTTCATCATCGGTTGGAGGAACGGTCCGCGCAACAGCAACAACAACAACAACAGCAGCAACACTCGGCGGAGGTGATCGGAAAGTTGTCGCACGATTTGAACAAGAAACTGCAGTCAAGTGAGGCGAGATCACGAACCAGCGAGAATAATAATAACGATAACCTGGAGGATCGACATCAGCATCATCACCATCATCATCATCATCAGGAGAAGAGGCAGCAAGAGAAAAGGCACGATTATGAGCAACGTAGGGAACGGCTGTCGCCCCAGAGCGTCGAGATCCTTAACGACAGGAACCGACAGCTGGAACGCGAACGCAGGAAGCTGGCGGCCAGTTGCGAACCCCTACCTCAGAACAGAGAGGTAATATTTCTTTTCGGACGTTTAGCGCGTATTGTACCGATACATCCTCGCTGGAGTAGGTTACCCCGGTGGAACAGCACAGCCATTATTGATATATTCTTTCTTATAGTGAGTAGTGTTTTCTCGAAGTACTCGTAGTACTTACTGTTTTCTTATGGTACGTAGTAGGGAAGTAGTAAGGAAGTAGAGAAGAAAATTTTACTGTATTTATTTTATTTTAGTAATTACCGGACTCTTTCATATTACGCTATTCGTATGTACATCTTTAAAAATTTTAATTTCCCATAAAGTCATAAACTAGACAGCTTAGTAATTACTTTTTTATTCGTTAGTTGAAAAATCCATCATCTGTGAACAAATATTTAGAATCTATATACGTTTAATTCTATGAAAATTTTCGTCTCTGTTATACTTGAACGAAAGATTAATCGAATAAATTACAATTAGAAACAGAGTCGAAGCATGGACGCGCCCTCATCGGTTGTCGAGGAGGATTTCTTCCGCGAGCGAAGCGCCACCATCGAAATGACCTCGCAGAACATCGAGCTGCTCAATCGGCGTAACGAGAAGAGAATGAACGCTACGTCGACGTCGACCAGCACGATCACTACATGCATTACGACATCGTCGGCATCCACGACAATGACGATCACGACGGACAGTTGCTGGCCACGAGGTCACGAAGTTCGAAGCTCCATCGAGGCGTCGGCCGTTACGGAAAGGCCTGCAGCCCCGACCAATTCACCTCCTAGAACACCGGATCAGATGGAAGGAGACAGCTCGAGAGGCGCCGTACCGAGACGATCTGGAAGCTGTTCCAGTTCTTCGTCCGGTAGATCGTCAGATCCTCGTGTTTCGCCGCGGATATTATCCAACAGTTTCTCTAAGAGCGACAATTCTTCACCTAACAACAGAAAAGTCTCCAGTCCTACACAAACGGACAACACTGGTTCCTCGAACAGATCTAGCTCGCCCGTCCGTTCGAGTCAAACGAACGAGATAGAGCTGAGAGTAGACAGATCTTCCTCGTCGAGTAAGTCCAGATCCGGAGGAAGGTCCTCGACGTCCTCGATCTCGAGCGTGTCGAAGGCTTCTTCTTCATCGTCGTCGAGGAATTCTCCGGTCGAGGAAGACAGACCATCTCCTCCGGTATCACCGTGTATGTCGCCTCAACCAGGAATAGAGGGACTGACATTGTTGCAACGTACCGAAGTTGTGCTCCGAGTGAATACTGCTACCAGTGACGCTGCCTCGCAGACCGAGATCTTGGAGCCAACGGAGTGCGAAACACCAACCAAGACTCAGGAAATTCCACTGTGCCGAAAGAAACTGCCAGAAGAAATCGAATGTGAGGAACTGGGCAGGGATTTGGCGAGCCAGCTCAATCCGAACGACAAACTGGTACCTCTTCTAGGTGAGTTGTGATCTCATCGATATCTTATTGATAAAAAAAAAAAAAAAAGTTAAAGAATACCGTTAGCTTTCGGTCGAACGTAAAATCTTTAGACATGTTTTATATCTGTCACATTTTATTCTTTCATCATTGGGTCTTTGATCCCTGGTTTAGACTGATCCCGGATTACCCGCGTTCCAGACAATTACGTCGCATAAAAGTCAGCCAGACATCGATATTAGTAATTCTCCTATTCCATCGACGACTTATCGCGAGCAAATTTAGCCTGGCTAGTGTCATCGACTTCGATCGGCTTGTCGAAATTTTTACCATTCATACGACACTCGCGGACACACCGATAAGATACGCAAGCTAGTTTGTAGTTACTAGTTACATACAAATCTACCACGCGTCCGTTGTTGCGCTCGTGCGTCATCTGCAACGAGGTGGAGTCCACTGGCCGGGCCGTCGACCTTTTATTTTAATAAGCGTTAAACCAATCGACGGGTCAACCGTATTATTCAATTACGCGTCGTTATTGCCTTTAGCTCGGTTCCTCTTCACGTACAACGTATATGCTCGCACGTGGATTCCAAGCATGCAGAAATTCGCTGAACAGAACAATCAAGCCGTATAACGATTTGTTCTTATCAGTTCCAGCGCCGGAGCACAAAAAGCCTACCGACTATGTTACCGGTTTGTTCAGGGTGGAAGCGACCTTGCAACCGCGACCTAGGCGCCGACTCTCCCTCGAGGAACCGACGACCCCGTGCTCCGAGAACGGAGACGAGGAGAAAAAGTGAGTATTATTATTGTAATTCGAATAATTGGAGGCTCTTTGGAAACTGGTTATCAAGGAGATTCCCGCGTGTGTTGTACAAAGGAATGTTATTTGTTCCTTGTTTAGACGTTGGAAATATTACCGCGAGGATCCGTAGATTAAAGTTCGAAATGTTAAATCTACATAATATAAATTTTGTATGTTTATCGTTCCAAATTATAATGATAACTTGATAATAGTCCCGAGATAATAGTCACGAATCGTAGAAAGAAGCATACTTCACGATAGATTGAAATTCAGAAGATACTTTTAAGCCGCATTTCACTTTATAGATTATTACTTTAAACTCATAGCGAGCGATGTTCGATTGAAACGACCATGCAAAATCCTATAATTTCCATAACTTTGAAACTATCATTTGCATGTTCTCTCAGCTATCCGCGCCGTTTCCTCTCATTATCGTTACATAAATGTTAACCGATCGTCCCAGACGATACGCCACGTCGATATTTCATACAGGTTGTTCCATGTGCGAACTTGCGACTGCCACTTTCACCGAACACCTCGACCATGCAGCATTATCAATCGAGTCCCCGATCTCCGGGATTAGATACAGATCTAGTTACAAAAACGCGGTCGAGTCTTATAAATTTTCACGATTGGGGCAATTCGCGCGATTCCAGAAAATTTCCCGCTTCGGTCGCGGCGGAACGGTGTCAAGGAGTTTTCCCTTTTTCACGTTGCACCGCAAACAAGATCCTCGACTAAAGAGGTCGTCGCTCATGGAAAGGACCTTTATTGGATGGCGAGTGACGTTTACGTGGGCGTGACCGCGAGATTCCCAGTCAGGCATCGTTAAACGAACTCTATTAACGTCGGGATATAATTGTCGTTTTCAAGAGGCGGTATGAATCGATGACACAGGATAAATTGTCTGGACTATTTGTATGATTTATAATTTTCTAATCGTCCGTCATATATCTGTCGTTACTTCTTTCGTGTTCTTGTTTGATTACGTTTTACGAGATCGCGAAAAGGAACGATGAATCTGTCATTATCCTCGAATTTTTACGTTCCAATTTTGTTCTTATTTTGGCAAACAAAATGATTTTTAATATCGAACGTAAAATTGAAGTCACATATCGTGCTCAGACTTTAAAAGTTCTTTAACGATAAAAAGATGATTGGTTTGGAAATGATACAAAGAACGCAGGAAGGCTATTAGATCTTGAAATAAAATTTAATATCTTCATACATTTTGCTTCTCGTAAAAGAAAAGTGAAAAATAGTTTTCGGCGATTAAGTTAGTAAACGTAAGCCACGAACGTTCTTCGGTGCCTTTTAAAGTTGTCACTGATTAATTTCGACGGAGAAACGAGTTTTTCCCTTTCCCGCCAATCTGGAACCACCCGACCAATCGAGGACAATATTTTCGCTGGCACGCGCCGGGAGAAAGTACTAGAGGCGCAAGGCGGTTACGTAACTAACCATAAATGATATTGTTAGGCTAGCTACTTGGTGGTCTACGCATCATTTCGTTCGCCAGTCTCACACGAACTAGCAGTGACATCGTTTCGCTCGATCTTAGCTCGCGGTTGTCGTCACAATCTCCACGCCACGAGAACACGTCCACCATGGAGACCAAAGATACGGAGAAGTACATTAAAACCCATGTTCCCTTTCGCAATACCTACTCCCGTACAATCTGAACTAATCGCCGACTTAAGAACATCCGCTGATCCGTTCATAGCGAACTAACTAACTATACGCCCTAGAGTCGTTCCGCCTAACTAACGTTTCCCCGTAGGCACCGGTACAACTTTGTAACGTTTGCTTCGTTAACTATACGGAGAACCCGAGCAAAAGAGCTTCCTACCACACCCCGGTGGAGCAGAAACGCTTTCGAAAGCGGTCACGGGTGGCTTCTTGAAGCGCGGCGCGTAAGATCTGCGCGTAAACGCGGCATGGTGGTTATATTCGCTGCAGCATCCACTTCCGCTTTTCATTAATTCCCTGCAGTTCAACGAGCGAGCCGAGTCGAGCGTTACAGTCGGCTAATCGGTGGGCTTACTCTTCGAACTGCCACAAACCGCGCTTTCCTTTCTTTATCACTTTCTCCTCTTTTGTAAAATCGCTCTTATAGTACGACTAACCCCTTGCCATGCGATTTTTCTAACGGCTATAAAAAGGAACTCCGAAGATTCGCTTAATATTTTTTTCTCGCTATTTCTTTCACATACTTGCATATATTCTACACTTTTATGGGAATCGAAATTTAATGGGAATTATAGGAATCGAAACATGCATAACATTAAGATGAACTGTTGCTTGTTCAAAATTCAAATTAAGCTTCTTTTTGTTTAATCGTAATCCTGATTCTAATCATGTGTGTCACTCGATATTGTGTTATAAGGCGAGCGATTAATTACTACTAGAGGGATTCTCCGATAGTATAGTATTGTAGTATCTCGAGAGAATGCATCTAACTTAAATACTTTAGTCGTGCTCCATCTACGTGGCCATCCATCATTTAACGAACGGAGAACCACGACAATTCGAATTCCTCAAACTCTGAGCAGAGCGTATTACGAGAAACCACGTGGTTCCGCGCGACAAGACATGCGTTTGCATGGAGACAGTAAATCATCCGTGCGACGTTCCCCGTTGTACAAAACGTGCCGATCGATTCGATCGTGAGTCATGCTGCCGGCTGATGCAATCCGTGTCGTCCACGATCACGAATTTTGCTCAAGGATTTTTGTGGCCCGTGATCGCCAGGATTACATCAAGACCAGTCGCCAACGAATGATTTAAAGATGGAAACTATGCTTGTTGCAGGCACGAGACGATACCCTCTACTCCGGTCACTCCATTATCGGCGGACTTGACGAGTCCTCTGTCCCCGACATCGGCTTACTTCACCACATCCGAAGGAAAGGCGAGATTCCTCACAAGATACACGCGTGACGTGACCGTCGAGGGGTTGACGCGGCAGGAAGACTCGTCGCCGCCTGTCGTTCCCACAGACAGTCTTGATCTCAGGCAGAAAAAGGTAAGGAATTTTTTATGGAAGGGAGTTAGTTGTATTAATACGCCCAGTGGTCGATGACGTAATATTACGGTTTTAATGATTTTTTTGGAAATATGATTAGATAAATCCTATCTAATTGGACCAAGATCACGAAATCTATCGAGAAGTTTTCTGAAAAATGAGTTACAGTTCTGTGAGAAATATGGACAATATATCATTTATTTTCTAAACATAGCGCGGCTCTTTAAGAGCCATTATAGCTACGAATTTGAAATACTAGAACTAAAATTCCAATAATTTGGTCGATTCAAAGTTTTGTTTTATTGCTTCCTTTTTCATTAAGCTCTTCAATGATCGATAACTCTGAAAATACGTTTACTTAAATTAACAACAGTAACTAGGATAAGGCATGGGATATTTGAAAGTACATTCTTAAAATTCTTACTCGTTCTTTAATCGCAGGAACTTTCCTTAAAATTACCAGCTGCGAATGTATTAATTTATGCGAACGATTCCCGGAACCGAGTTCTTCCTTTTTTTCTATATAATCATCCTTCAACTCTCTTAAACCGAGACATACGCTTGTACCTTGCTTTCCCTTTCGCATCAAGTCATCAGGATTCTAATCCTCTGTCGCCTAATTCATCTTCCCATTGATCAAACTGTGTTAAAAATGACGCGAACAACGGACTGCTTCCCTTGCGTTCTGTCACGCGGTCGAAAAGGGCGAATCCTTGAAACATTGTCGATTTTCTTCGCAGGAGGAGCTGATGATGAGGTTGGACAAGAAGCTGGTGGTTCTGAGAGCGGAACAGGAAGCCGTGCGAGAAGAGGGAGATGTAAACGAAGCTTTGGGAGCGCGAGTCGCCACGAGGATCACCGCGGTCGCAAGACCAGCGGAAGCTTCCAAGTATCGGCTCCACGTGGAGGAAGTAGGCAAGATCACGAGCCTTCTTCTTGGCCTGAGCGGTAGATTGGCTCGAGCTGAGAATGCTCTGTACGGAATGCCGGCTGATCACGCGGAAAGGGTAAATTTTTAATTTAAATAATGTATTTAATCTATTACGTGAATAATTTTACTGAACAAGAACCGACAGAAAATGAGTAATAGTTTAATTAAATGCGCGGATATTAATATTTAATTTTTTTTTCTGGAAATGTACGCGTAAATCGATAAACGGGTAGGATACAAGGTCGATCGGTCGAAGCAAACAGCGATAATTTGTCGTCGAAGCAAGATATTTTAAATAAACACGGACCGCGTTGGAGTGAATACGCGTTTATTGAAATTTTACTCGGCGTCCTTGCGTTGTCATCGACTCGCTGTGTTACGTGCTTTCGTAAGGCGATTTGTAATTGTTGAACAGGAAGGACGGAGAATGCAGGTGCAATTAATCATGTGCCAGGCAGAAAGTCGTCTTGATTTATCGACAAGATCTTATGCAATACGTTCCATTACGTGGTTAAAAATTAATTCTAGTAAAAACTTTAAAGTAAATAGAAATCCAAGAGAAATCATAGATAGAGGAGGAAATCAATAAACCTCAATTACATGAACTACTGTTTCTCAATGAATTCAGATAAATAAGCTTCTACTACATATTGCAGCAATTAGAAAACTCGAAGTAATTTTTAACAACGAACGATAATAAAGAGCATTCTATTTTTATTCGCAGAAAATTCTGGAGAGTAAAAGAGACAAGTTGATGGATCAGCTGGAAGAGGCGAAAATCCTAAAAAGCAACATCGACAAGCGCAGTGTGAACGTATCGACGATTCTGTCGAAGTACCTGAACGAAGAAGAGTTCGCGGATTATCAACACTTCATCAACATGAAGGCGAAGCTGATCGTGGACGGCCGTGAGATTCAGGACAAAGTGAAGCTCGGGGAGGAACAGCTTGCCGCATTGAGGGAAGCGATCGACTAGTCGTAAAACAAACGCGAACCCGATCGCGATCTGATCGCACCAGAGACGCCTGTTTATGCCTGGAAACGCGTGTTCCCTCGAGCATGATACGATTTTTTTTACGACAGGAAGGAACACGCGATCAGATCCAGGGTATTTTGCAAACGACACGTTGAATTTTGTAAACGATCCTGCTACGCGTGTGTTCGAATCGATGAATGGAACGTGATATCTTTAGCGAATAGGCGTACTGGTAGCTTGAAATCGTTTTCTTCTTTCTTTTTTTTTTTTTTTTTTTTTTTTTTTTTTTTTTTTTTTTTTTTTTTTTTTTTTTTTTTTTTTTTTTTTTTTTTTTTTTTTTTTTTTTTTTTTTTTTTTTTTTTTTTTTTTTTT